AGAGGGAGACGGTAGCTTCGCAACCAAGGCAATTTATGATCCGGTAAAAGCAAGGACTCAAGTGATCCCTCACCTTCATTATAGTATAAGACCCAGGTATTCAGGCCGGCAGGCCCATGATCGAACAATTTAGCGAAGTGGTCTACACTGGTCTGCCTAGACCGGGAGAATTTAAGTCGGATTTTGGATCCCTCATCTTGATATTCCGATAGCGCTTCGTTGTAGCCCATGGCATCTCGTAGAGATGCTTTTAGACGTGTTATGGAACGAAGAGCTGGTGGAAAATAGACAAGTGACATGATCAGGTAATATTCTTCCCGATGGTTATCCTCAGCAAGGTGCGCCAGAGAGTAGCCGGCAAAGACTGGGTTGGCACCGAGTTTCACAGCTTGCTCAAACCACTCACGATTTTTGAAAGTGGCGCCGATGATCAGGTCCAGAACTTGTTTCGCGTTGCGTACCATTGTAAGTTGCCAGAAGAAGAATACAGTATCAGACAATGACTGCGAGGCCAACTTTCATACGAACTCAGGGAATAAGATTTGTACTAAATACCTCGGATCCTAATCCTAGCCTTCCTCTTTCGTCGAGCTTCCGCTACAAGAGGGAGAGTGGCGAGTGAGAGTGACTGAAGTTGCGTGCTTCGTAGCGATTACAGTACAGTTGGATCCGAAATCGGTTTCCGGCATTATTGTTCTGGCGTTTCCAACCAAGAGACAATAATGGACCTGTTTGCTGACATGGTACCTGCGAACGCCTCCACACTACTTGCTAGAGAGAAAAGGATACAGAAAGTGGCAGCTGTTGCGGGCGCTCAACCCTATGTTTGCAAGGTAAAGAGCTGATTATGGATTACCTACACGGGTATCATCATCTTCTGTCAGCAAGTGGATACCAAAATGTCCAGGAAAGAAATGTTTCTTGTGTGAAAAGCATGAAACCGATTTCGAACACGACTGTACTGTACTGAACTTCATCAACTTAATAGTAGATGGATATGAAGCGGATGGTATGGTGCAGTATCGGTTCTTCTCGAAGGCCATTGGTAAACACACACACAATTTATTTCGCCCGGCAGCGAAGCCGAAAGGGCAACTAAAGCTGACTACATGTACGTCTATGACTTTGTGTCACGGTTTCCTTGAAGCCCATACTGTTTCCACTTTCTGCTTCCTCGTCCATTTTCTGTCTTTCTCGCCACAGTAGTCAGCAAAAAAAGCCTTCATTCCAGTCACAACTCTCTGATGTCTCTTACGCAGTGCAGCTATTTTGTTTGATTTACGTACAGTATCTGCATTATAGACGTGGCGGACGTCAGCTTATAGTGGATCTGCACATCTCTATCTTTAATACTAGATGTTGGGTAATCAAAACTGGCCCTTCAACCTGCCTAAGACCCCTGGCGTTGATGACACAAAAGCCATTGATTGCTCTAAGCGATGTGTGGGTCACCCTTGTTAGTGAAGGCTCAAGTAGGCCGGTACCGCAGAGCCAGATCAGACTGTGTCAATGCCAAGATGCCAAACGCTGGTGCGGAAAGACATCAGAGAGTTGACGCAAATGCACAGTACAGTCGCATTCGAAATTGGTTTCATGCCTTGCACTTGAAAAACATTGTTTTCCCAGATATTTTGGTATCCACTTGCTTAGAAAGTACAGAAGGACCCATGCAACGTACTTGTTGGAAAAATGTTAAAACTCCTGTGTAATCCATAATCAGCTCTTTACTCTGCAAACAATGGGCCAAGTGCTCATAATAGCTGCTACTATCGGTATCTCTTTCTCTCTGGAAAGTATTGTGGAGACGTCCGCAGGTACCGTGTCAGCAAGCAGGTCCATTATTGTCTCTTGGTTGGAACCGCCAGAAGAGCAATATCGGAAACCAATTTCGGATCCACCTGTACTGTAATACAGAAAAATCTGACGTCTGCTGTTGCAAGTCCGAAACCATCTCTTGGCACAGTTCATCTAGATTTGACGCTGATCAGGTACGTCGTAACCCAGCTGGTTGCTGTATATAAGAGCAACATAAGCTACATCTGCAAACCTATCAAGATAACTCTCAACACAAGTTGGTTAATGTCAACTCAAAAGATAAGATGCTCGTTGGCTCAGAAAATTTTCAGATGAACTCAAAGGACGGCCAGACATCACTATCATGGGCCGCCATGAATGGGTACGACACGATAGTCAAGGTACTCCTTGAGACCGGCAAGGTTGAAACCGACTCGAAGGATATTGACGGCCGGACCCCGCTTCTCTGGGCAGCCTCATTTAATAGGGAGGTAGTCGTCAAGATGCTCCTCGACACCGGCAAAGTTGACGTCAACTCGAAGGATGATGAAGGCCAGACGCCGCTATCATGGGCCGCCATGAGTGGAAACAAGACACTCATCAAGATGCTCATTGATACCGAAAATGTGGATGTCAATTCAAAAGATAATCAAGGCCGAACGCCACTATCGCATGCAGCTTGGTACGGAAACGAGCCTGCCATCAATATGCTCCTCGAGACAGGCAAAGTTGACATCGACTCGAAGGATAATGATGGCCGAACGCCGCTATCATGGGCCGCCAAGAATGGAAAAGAGGCAGTCATCAAGATGCTCCTCGACACTGGCAAGGTTGACATCGACTCGAAGGATAATGACGGCCGAACGCCGTTATCCTGGAGCGCCGAGAATGGGAACGAAGCATTCGTCAAGATGCTGCTCGACACCGGTAAGGTTGAGATCGACTCAAAGGATGATTACGGACGAACACCACTGTTATGGGGCGCTGAACAAGAAAAAGAAGCCGTCGTCAAGATGCTGCTCGACACTGGCAAGGTTCAAATCAACGCCAAAGACAATTGCGGCCGAACGCCGCTATCATGGGCCGCCATGAGTAGAAACAAGACACTCATCAAGATGCTCATTGATACCGAAAATGTGGATGTCAATTCAAAAGATAATCAAGGCCGAACGCCACTATCGCATGCAGCTTGGTACGGAAACGAGCCTGCCATCAATATGCTCCTCGAGACAGGCAAAGTTGACATCGACTCGAAGGATAATGACGGCCGAACGCCGTTATCATTGACCGTCGAGCATGGAAGCGAAGCATTCGTCAAGATGCTCCTCGACACTGGCAAGGTTGACATCGACTCGAAGGATAATGACGGTAGAACGCCACTATCGCATGCAGCTTGGTATAGAAATGAAGCAGCCATCACGGCGCTCCTCGAGACAGGCAAAGTTGACATCGACTCGAAGGATAATGACGGCCGAACGCCACTATCATGGGCCGCTGAGCATGGAAGCGAAGCAGTCGCCAAGCTGCTCCTCGACACTGGCAAGGTTGAAATCGACTCGAAGGATAATGACGGTAGAACGCCACTATCATGGGGCATTGAGCATGGAAATGAAGCAGTTGTCAACCTGCTTCTTAGTACAGAGTGCGCTGACATCTACTTACGCGATGATTCCGGCCGAACGCCCCTATTTTGGGCCGCAATGGCAGGAAATGTAAAGCAATGATGCTGCTAGTGAATGACAAAAGTGCCTACCTCAAATGGGCTGCGTAAATGTCTAATAAGGAGCTTAGGAATATTATTTGCGAACTAGAGGTCCCTTTTCACGGCTACGAGCATGGTGTCTGTTACCAAGAGAGTTAGACTGATTTTAGCTAAAATTGACCGTCGTATATTATGCTAAATGATTTCTTTGGGCCAAAAGAACTGTTTCGTGACACGTGATTCTTGTGGTTCCAAGATCCGTCTACTATCAACTGTAAGGAAGTCCTCATGTCCCACCTAGAGATTGCCTATGGACAACAGGGAGCGCTTGAAAAATGGGAACTCGAATCGAGTTGTACAAGGCCCCTCGGATGGAACGACATTTGGAACGAGCCACTTCCGTCAGATCTAGAGATCCTCAGTAGAAGGCCTGCCAATCCCGTAATACAAGATTGTTAACGGACTCATGATCTCAGCTCCTGGACTGTACGTTGCCCTGTACCGACTCTCAACCGTGATTCAAGCCAATGGACAAGGAATAGGTCTTTTTCTTAGGGAATATGAAGCCATGATAATCGGGAATTCGACTCCACTATTTAACGACCATCCCAGATCTCGAGCGAGTCTTTTCAGAATAAATCACACAATGCGTCTTACTACTAGGCATGTTGTCGAGTTACAATTCGACCACACACCCAATGACACCAACACTAACATCCTATATCTAGTTCTACGCACCACCAAAAACCAAGAGACTCTTAACATTGACTTTACCAAAGCCACGTTGACGGAAAAATGCTCAGCCGCGATGAACAGGGAATTCGGCTAGTGTCTGGGGTCATCGGCCACTCGAGTCAACCAGGAAGACTTAGTAGGATTGAGCGATACGCCGAAGCGTCGAGTGTAATTGGTTGCGAATGAGGGGGCAGGGCAGCCAGGCCTAAAGTTCAGAGGTTGGAGGTGACCCGCTCCTCACGCCCCCCGACGCAAGCCAAAATGTGACTGCACAATGGGCCATCTCTCCTCGGCCTCCAAATGAGCAGCCATTCCTCTTGACGGCACTTAAGGTCTGACTCTCAGTGCTTATTCCTTTCAAGCTGATAAAGCTTGTACCTCAGTATAAAACCCTCCTAAATCGCAGTCTACGCTTGGTATTAACAAATCCAGAGCGTGGCAGTGATGCTACTCCTTTCCTCGCAGCAATAATGGCCGCCGCAAATGAACAACCCACAGACCAGCGTAGCAGCACCGATTATGTCTTATGTCTAGACCCTTCCGCCCAGACGCTATCAATGAAATCCTGATCCATGCCAGTAGCCTATGTAAGTGTGCAGCTGTTCATTTGAGACACACAGATTTGTCTTTCGTCGCCAGTTATGGAGCTGATATTCTGCCCGCATTCCTTGCGTATTCGTCGGAATCGGCTTCAAGGTAGCTTATTTATACGCTATCGAAAGGTCGTGAGATCAACACATGATTAGGATGGAATATTCGAATAAACAACATGAAGTCCAACCGAAAGACCCAAATCGCCCTCTTTCCGGCTCGCTATGCTCGTGAGAATGCTACTGTAACAGATCATAAGGTACACCCTTCAACTGATACGTCAGCAACGAACGATAACTTGCAGATCGCACCACAGCAAGAGAAGGCGAAACATCAAGCCATGTTTACAGACAAAGCACAGGCCATCGTCCGCTCGCAAAGAGGCCCTTTCTCGGTCCGCACAACGGACGTCGAATGGGGCTCGCCGTGGAAAGACTATCAGGAGCAATTCAAGCTACACGATCTCTGGGACAGTCTGATAGTGGCTGTGGGACAGGGAAAACTGGTCCACATCAAGGAAATGGCTCCGCTAGAGTCCAAAGACGCTCTATCAAAGTTCAGAATCCTCCGCCACAAGAACATCATCGAGTTTATCCACGCGTACATGACAGATTCCTGCCTGTACGCCGTCTTCGAGCCAACGGCGTTCAGCCTCCTTCACTTGGCTCTATGCCCAAGATATCCTGACGAATCCCAGCTAGGTGCCATAGTCGGCCAGGTAAATGACGGAGAGAACAAGCATTCAAGGATATAGAGTGACTTGTGCTTCGTTACAGGTCGCAGACGGACTCAGCTATCTAGAGAGCCAAGGGTTTGAACATCCCTCGCTCGACAACAGCAAAATAGTGGTGACCGATAGGGGATTGGTGAAGATTGGCAAGTATATTTTCAGCATCCGAAGAAACAGGAGTCGCATGCCTATTAGGCTCTTGATCTGGCGTCTGACATGAAGCAGCAACCCAAGACGGTTGTCAGCCGCTCAAGGGCCACAGCCAGCATCACATCAGGACCATAAGCCGTGCCGCTCAGCTTCTCATGCTAAAAACTGATTGCAAGGAGACACTGGGTGTCGATGACCTTGACCGTTGGCCTTTTGATTCGGACGGGTTTACATTTCTGCTCGCAGCCGATTCTGCGTCGTCAATTGACGAGTTGCATAACGTTAGCATCACCCCGCCATGGAGTGCTCTCATCCCTCCGTAGGAATGTTTCTCACTAGTACCTGCAGCATCCGCTCATTAGACACCGGGATACCGACTGTCTTCTCGGTCTGCTCAGCCTGGCACGCGTTTCAGTCTTCCCAAGAGAATATCAGTGCCAGTTCTAGGCAATTCTGGCGCCGAACCGGGCTTCTACCAGCCAATTCTGGCTCCGCAACAGATGGCCCTATGTATTCTTTTCTTCGAGAACTCTTCGCATAGAACACCGGTCCCATTACTATATTCGATACATATATGTATATGGATATATCCCTGAGCAACCAAATGGTATATCCGAGCGAGACTCTCGAAGTCTCCTGGGGAATCTAGCTAATATTGGGTTTACATAACTAACCTATACCTTAGCTACGAGAATAATTCCGCGTTATATTTTGTCGACATATCTGGTTCACTAAACCTAGCTATATCTTCACCCTCATACTCCAAAGTGACTGTAAGGAACCCATAGAGCCTGTTCGTGCCTAGTATCCCTGTCCGGCTCTATATTTTTATTCCTGGCTTCAACGCCCTCTATAGCCGTGGTTCCTAGTTGCCACTCTATCTACTTGTCTCGAAGTGTCTTGACGTGCTGCGCTTTAATAAGAGTAAACAGAGGATATTAGAGCCGATAATCGCAGTAATGTTCCCATGATGCTACCGTGAGGCAGGGAGTGACTTGTAGCTTACGGAAGTCATGTGGGCCGTATTGGAGAGAAGCGTTGCAGACGAACTGTCCATAGCAGCAATAGAAGAGAAACCTATTGCATTACAGGATTGTCCGCGGCAGGGAGATAGCTGCTGAAGACGTGGATATGCGGGGCTCTGCCCCATCTTTTTGCTGTCCTAGTCTGGTAGCCAGGGGGACATCACATATCACTGTCAATGTACATCAAGGGTCACAATCTCGTCTTGTTTGAAGCTTCCTTTTGTTGGAGTGAAAATCGTAAAATATATGTTTTTTCGGCTGCTAAGCCATAGTGCAGCATTTGCAAGATCACACCGCAGCAGCGACTGCTCGGATAGTGGTTTGGATTTAAGGCTTAAAACATATGATTTGTTAATAAAAGAGCAGATTTATGCGGCTGAGTAAAAGACAATAGGTTCGAAAAGTGGCTTCATTAAATTAAGCATAGATAAGTCTCCAATTCAGGTTACCTGCTACGAGCCGCCGGCCTTTCTACTCTATCAGTCGTTCTCTTCCCCAAGCTTCACTCATCCCACGGGGAAACCTTGACTATACTCCTGAGACACCCTTTTTGACAAATAAACATGAGAGTTCAAAAAGGATTGGCGATCAGGGCCGCATGGTCGTCACGTCTTGACGTAGTTGAAGTCATCTGCACGTTTGAGAGAGATGGCCGAGTGTTCTATGGCGTAATCTCAGAGATTCCTCAGATCCTCGTGTGGGATTGGCCAGATGATCGCCAGCTTCTATGGGTCTTTGACGATGGAGATGGCATCAGAGTATGGCAAGAATGTTTTGAGCGACCTAGACCGAGCAACCCTGCTTGGGCGTCACGTCTTCAGTCTATTGTGGGTTGTTGTGAAAGCGATGGCGGCAATGTCTGTTACGCCGTCAAATGGGACGGTTACGCATGTCCCACGTGGGAAGCAGAAGAAGACATGTCAAAGTATGGCCACCTGCTGGCGGAGCATGATCAGGCTTGCAAGTGCAGGCAAAGGTTGTGAGTGTTGCAGCCAAACCTGATGGTGAACAAAAAGAGAGATACCGCTGAGTCGGTATGCAACATAGAAGAGATATACACCAATGGCAAGCAAGCCTGTGGCTCGAGTCATGAGAGCAAGCTTGTTATGTAAGGCATAAATGCAACATGCATTTATTGGCTGTGGATCGAGGTGACCCCTGCAACTTGCCGGTTTCTGTTTTCTGTGCAGCCAGACTTTGGTGTCTGCGATCCGTTAGAACGACATTCACACGGCCTTCTACGCAACAGTCACTCTTGATTAAGCTTCCAAAATGGCCCACTGTCTGGGCTTGCCGATATGTTCCCCACTAGACGAGGGCTTGCCCGCGGACCATCCAGAAACAGTTCTCTGCTATCATAAACACCCCAGCCAAATAGACTAAGGAGCCTTTTTTGGAGCAAGGAGATCCACCTACCAAGCAACGGCTTCGTCGCGAGTACTCAATAGGAGCGATTCCCAAGCATGGCTTGGGGATTTGCTATTTATTATTATTCGCCTTTTACTGCAGTACTGTATTCGAACATGACACCAGTTCCAGATGGTCATTGGCCAATCAAAATGTCGTGTCAGTTTTCGACTCCGCCCGACGTCGTTAGCGACTGGGTTTCTTCCATGTCGCCTCATACCGAAAGCCCACGATGCTTTGCTATACCGTCAGAAGCGAAACAAGCTACCTGCGATCGGTCCATGACTGGTATCGCTATGTCCGGCCTCGCTAGAACACCTCTGCCTGCGCTTTCCGAGGGAGACACTTATCGAAGCCGATCCCACAACACCAACACCAACCAGCATTGTCAATCTTCCACAGGGGCTTGTCCAATTGTCCGCGTCGCATTTTACAACAAGAAATACCAACCTAGGTGTCTAGCAAGAACAGCAAGAGCAGAAATGAAACACGATGTTTCTAGTTACAATTTCAATGGATGCGCTGCCAGCACCGAGGACGAAATGACGGAGTGGGAAGACTCTGTCGAAGCTAGCGAGCCACTTGTGAACCATCTCCAGTTCGGCCGCCGTGTGGATCTGGATGGTACGGCAGCCGGTCGTTCTCTCATCACAGTCATGTTGGAGCAGTCTGGACTTTGCACTGATGGCACAAATGCAGCTGCATGCGCGGCATAGAGGGAATGATCTTAACGCATATCATGTACTGTACATAGTTTAAAGTTTAAAATGTTTACAACCCTGATATGTCTTAATGCTACGTTAGCATTCGCACTATCGACCCAAGTAAGAGTTCCTTTAGATGCAATCCTACATGGACGGAGTCTAATTCGATATGTGAATATTCTGTTAAATATTCTATTACGTCTATAGTACATGTCCCTACAAACAAGACTGGTTTTAAGTATCTCTCGTGCTGAACTAGTAACAGTCGCTAGAATTTATGATACAGACCCGTTCCTAAGCAAACTGAAGTAGGGAAAAGGAAAGAACCTCTCAGCAGTCCGATGATGTTATCTGACCAAGGAATGACGGCACAGCAACTATGGCAGGTTCATTTTCCTCCCCGGCAATATCCGAGTTGTCGTCGTTTCGAAATACAAAACCCTGCTGTGTGACAGACTGAGCGCCGATACCGTAGTCATATGATTGGGCCTGCGGTTGAAATGAACCGCCCAGCGTATTGTGAATAGGAGCACTAGCCAGAAAATCACTGGTAAGGTAGGCTCCGGGGTGCACACTATCCATGACATAGCCACCCGACCTGCCGTCATCTAGTAAATTATACGCGTCGCCTATATAGTCAGGGTGACATCCCCAGTAATAACTGCAACTGGGGGAGAGAAAGACCGGCTCATGGTTAGCTGTGCTATCAATATCACCGAGCTCGTGGTTGCAAAAGGGTTTTGTAAACGAAAAGCTTCAACTTATTAGTAGTGATTTCTCGATTTTCAACTCGGTGCGATATTCACTCACTCGATGAACGAATTGTAGCAAAAAGGAGCCAACATCTGATGCGAGTTGTCGTGAAGACCTAGACTGCCGAAATCATCGAACATCTGTTGTTGAAGAGCCATGCTCGAACTCGTCACGAAGGATGGTTGCAACGCTTGCACCGCGAACATGTCCTCCAAAGTAGGTTCCCCAGTCGAGATCAGCTTTGCTGGCGGTAGTAATTGGCGTACATCCGTGTTATGGCCCGTCGTGTTGGAATGGTACGTCTCAGAGTCTGCGTGGTGGTTTATGCTGTCTGTTAGCAACGGCGTGTCAACCGCTGGCGGGGTTAGAAGTCTGGGGGCATCTTCAGAACGAAGCTCTCTCTTGGCCGTGTTTGTCTCCATATCCAGAGCGGCAGGCGTCAGCAAGTCTGATATCGAGATTCGACGAGACATTGTCGTTAAGAGGAGGATTACTGATGTAGCTGAGTATGTCTTCAAAGCTTTAGCTGTGATGAAGAACATGAAGTATGTGACTCTGCTATATATGTTGATTGTTGAAACAGGGGCATCTGGCGATTTGTGTTATATTACACGAAGAAGGCTGGCACAGGCAGTGCCGAGCCATGGTCACCGGAAGAGCTCTAACAGATAGCAGGAGTGATGGTAGCCAACGAGTAGCTTACAGATTTTGCATCCAACATATGGACATGACGAAGAATGCAAAAGCTCGGGAGTCGGTCAACGAGCCTCGCTAGCCACATGCCATCCATCGCCTGAGGTGCAATCGGGGATCGGAATCGGCTGTGGGGCTCGATGTCCGTATTGCTACATTGCAGCCGGTTTTGGATCAAATGGCTGGTTGTATGGGACAACTCTTATGTAATACAACCCAGTCTGATACAACACTACCTCTGATCATTTGAGCCGATGTGTCTCTCAGCACAGCCGAATGGGTCCACTCCGCGACGATGGACAGGCAGAAACTTGCCAAGTATCTGCTGTATTGCTGAAATTTCCCTTCCAAAAAGCAGTAATTAGTTCTTGGCACACTCGTATCACTTATTTGCCGATACGGTAATTTTATTCCAACATACAAGGCTAAATTATAGAACGTAGTTACCTGATCCGCGTCTTGTGGTTGCGCACGAAGCCGCAACTAGATTATAGGTCCTAATCGCGTTCAAACAGCGTTTAGAGCTGTGTGTAATAGCTTCGGAAAACAGCAGTTGTTAGTTTAAGCAAGACGCCGTCTTTTACAGTAGTCACTATCTATCGGACCATCCCAAATACGGCGTATCAATTTCGCCCGTGGCGAAACCTTTTAGTGTTTTGGTTTATCTTGTTTGAACTATATTTTATTTCTCCCTATACAGTATGTCATATTTCTTTCGTTGAATCGTCTTTAAAACTTTTTAAGCAATCTCAACTACTTATCTTACCTGTTGCTAACACTTTGGGCCAATCTCAAAATATTTTACGAACCAGTTCAGAACACCTTGGCTTCATATCGTCACTTTTCACTAGACTGGAGAGTTTACTAATAAATAGCGTCTTGATGTAACCGTCATCTAAGCTTTCGACGTAATATACGTGTCCGCTGTTAGTGGGGACTTACTCCCGCGATCATAAGTC